GGTTTGTGTTAGATTTAGGTAAAGGGCAAAAAGGTTCCTTAGGGTTTGTGTTAGATTTAGGTAAAGGGCAAAAAGGTTCCTTAAAGTTTGTGTTAGGTTTCTGGAAAAGGGCAAAAAAAAATTTTCCCTAGGGTTTGTGTCAGGTTTAGGTAAATGGCAAAAAGGTTCCTTACGGTTTTTGTTAGGTTTCGGGAAAGGTGCTAAAAGGTTCCTTAGGGTTTGTGTAAGGTTTCGGGAATGGGGCAAAAAGGTTCCTTAGGGCTATGTTAGGTTTGTTAGGTTTGGGGAAAGGGTAGAAAGGTTCCTTGGGGTTTGTATTAGGCTGGGAAAAGGGCAAAAAGATTCCTTATAGGTTGTGTAAGGTTTGGAAAAAGGGCAAACAGGATAGATGTTGGTTGAAATTAAAAGTGCAGTGTATTGTTGGGGCTAGGAGGTGGGGGATTGTAAACAAAAATCATTTAAAATAAGATTGAAAGATTAGTTGCTAAATTCTGCACTAACATTGAGGGACCAACAAACTGCAATCCAGCCATGTCAACCACAAGGTAGTACAAAAAAAAAAAAAAATGATAATAAATAAAATAAATAAAAATGGTTGGTTAAGTGTTAATCGGTGTGCAAATGTTGAGGGACCAACAAACTGCAATACAGCCACGTCAACCACAAGGTTGCACACAAAATAAATAAATAAATAAAAATAAAAAACTAAAATAAAAATAAATGAAAAATTGAAAAGTTAATCGGTGTGCAAACGTTGAGGGACCAACAAACTGCAATGCAGCCACGTCAACCACAAGGCAGCACACAAAGCAAAAAAAAATTTTTTAGAAAACCTGAGTGTAAAATAGTGCACTAACTGTTGGAGGTTTGATGAAGGGTATCATAATGGTACAAATAATTTAGGGGTTTGTATGGGTGCTTAGGGTGGGGTGATAAATTTTCTCTAACAGAAAAACAAATATTTTAGTTGTAAATGTGGTGGTGTTATTTAAAGGGATTAGCTATATAGGTTTGTTTAAGCTGTGTATGCAACATGAGAATATGTAAAATAGGGGTTGACTGTAAGATAATATAGTTTGGGTAGTGGGCATATATTAAAAAGTTAAGTTTTGTGTATATGGGAGAGTATATTTGGTCAGTTGGTTGTTATTATTTTCGTTTTGGTCTAATAAAAAAATGTAGCCACTCAGTGTTGTGCAAAATTTAATATAGTTGATGTAGATTGTGGTAAATCAGACTGTTCTATGTAATACAAATTTATAAGTGATTATGGATTGATCGAATCTCTTTTCTCTCCATTCAGATAAAGCCACTGACCATGGTGAATGTCAAAATAAAACCAGATGTGGACCTTGGAAGTGAGGTTTTGTACAATGAAATCAATGTGCCTCGCTCTCTTTTCTCCTTTGGAATGTGAAACCCAATGTTGAGAGGTTAAGATCCATTTTGCAATTGTATGTTTGCTGTGTGTATAGGGAGCGGCTAATATGGTTCCGGCCTGTATGAGAAGAGTACTCAGGGTACTCCTCACACGTCCGCCCATGACGTTATTTGAATTTTGCACCTACTGCGAAGCAGGCTGTACATTCATAATCACTATGTAATCCGATGAAAAGTATTTTTTGTCCGTGAAATTCTTCAGGACGTGAAGAAGGGAATCGCTCTGTGAGTGATAACCTTAAGTGTAAAATTCTCTTGACCACGAAAAGCCTCGCTAATGAGCCTTGTCTGGAGTCCATTCTGTTGGTGACTTTGCGCAAAACAGCGCTCAGTACGTGTAGTACAAGTTTCGTATGTCTGTAGAGCGTGATTACAGTGAATTGATTATCATTCCTTTCTTTTAAGGTGGTGACCGTAAGAAGTTAGTTACACAAAAGCCAGGTATTATGTCTTTTTATTTTAAGCGTTCTCTTCTGGGCAATCGGCTGAAAAGCTATTTTTACATTATATTAACATTTTTATTTTTACACGGGCTAACATGGAGAAGTGGACTCAGTCCTAACAGATCATCTTTGCTCAAGCATAGTTAATAGAGGGAAATAGTTAAGAAGCCCAGTAAACATCAAAGAAGTAAACAAACAGGCTAAGATTTATGTTGGAAGGTCCTTGACATCTTTTGTTTTAAGCTCATAGACTATGCATGAATTACATAATCGAAATGATTCTATTGGTTAGTTGTGTGAGCACACGTAACCACCTTTTGTATTTTGCCAGGTTTTGTGCAGGGTCAACCCCCAAAATAGCCAACAAAAACATAGAACAAAGAACCTCGCCAGGTTTTATAACCTTTTCCCTTTATTAACTATGACTCAAGTGCGCTACTGCTCAACAAATCTCTAAAACGGTAGTACCTTATGTAAAATATGTTTTGAAGCTGTCCGCCAGTTCGTGGGTACTTGCGGCTGTCTATTGCGTTTAAGTTCGTTTTGTTTTTACTTCAAAAAATGCAACTTCCATGGCGTCATGTTAACAGAACTCTTGAGTTATTTTGTGGTCGTAACCAACGTAAAGCTTTGCAGTGTGCTGGAATTATATATTTTCATAATACGAATAGAAGAACTCTTGTCATGATAGTTACAAACAACTCGACACCGAGCTTAGGAAGACTGTGGTTGGGCATTGAACGCAATCCCTTTTAAGACTTCTAGAGCCTCTCTCTTACTGGTTGGCTGAAGTTCTGAGAAAGTGAAGTTACGTTTCAGACGTCTTAAAAGACCTGGAGGGGTGTTTTCTAAAGTGTTCTGATGATCAAAATGCGCCCACAATATATTAGGTTCATTTTTCGGACATAAGATAATAATACAACTATTACTAAAATGATATCGCTAATTCAACATTTTCTTGAGCCTAACATTCCTCACCCTCCCCTTTCCCTCGCCATGCATTTCTACATCTATATTTAAGAGATAAAAGTTTCTAAACTTCATAGCTTTTTTTTTCATAGGACTCGTGTTGAGTAACCTATCTTCTTGAATGAGTGCGTGAAAGACAAATAAAATTCCGTAAAGATTATTTCCTAACACGAGAAATAAATAAATAAATATATACGCTCTCATATATCTGTCCTTTTTCGATATTCAGTTTATATATGTGGTACTTAAAAGATCACGTTAATGTTGCACAAACCTTCAGAAATGCTGACTTTTTTCGGCTCTTACTTATGAAAATGAGACGCGCAATTAAAATTTAAAAAATAAATGCACCAAGTAAAGCAAAGTGGTCCCAATTAATTTATAAAGGCACTAAAATATGCCTACCTTATGCTTTGTTTAAGAAGCTAGAATTTATGGTTATCCAAGTTTTAACAATTACAATTTTTTACATAGTTATAGTTAATAGTGTTATTTATGGTGTTAATTACAGCGCACGAAATTTTAGGTGTAAAGTTTTAGGTGTATTTACTCTATATTTAGGTGTAAATACTAATTTACAAATGTAATCTTTCAAGATTTCGCCCAGACCAAAAACTTGCCAGATTGATTTTTCACTGATTTGAATGGAAGCTCGAAAAAAATTCAAGACGTTTCTGTGGTAGGCCAAAGAAAGCAAAAAAGTACACCTGCTAGCATTAAACCATTCAACTACTAAGTTGATTTACTGTGTTTAAGAAAAAAAAAAGTTACTTTTATTCTTTGTCGCCAACATTTTTTTAAGTAATAAAAATAGCCTGACTAAGCTCATTTTTATTCTCAAACGTCAGTCATCTATGAAAAGGGTCTGCTGATGGTAAAGTTAAAAAAAATGTGGTCAAAAGGACCTCAACCCTGAGATGAACATCAAATTTCTCCTTAGTGTTCTTGAAACTATTTTTATGATGATCCTTTGGAGTTTATGCTTTTCAATCGGAGCGTGAAATGACGTCCCAGTTCACCATTGCACTGTTTCCTGATTACTCGCAGGTCCAGATCAAACGTTCAACTTCCCATGAGACGAACTAAACTGAACTTAGTCTCATGTGAAGTTCGACGTTTTTCCTGGGCCTCAGGACCTTATTTTAGATCCTACTTCTAACACTTCAAGTGAAACAAACAAACAAAAAAAAACCATCACCAGAATGAGTGCTTGTTGGATGACGTACTGCTAACATTGAAGATTGGATGTTGATCTTTCTTAGTTTCTTAACTTATTTTCAGTATTCTATCTATAGTGTCTTAACAGCTTTCGTAGGGGTGCTACTTAACTCTGTTGTGGTTGTATTTCTCGGCGAAGCTGTGGTCTTTGAAGAGTTCGTCTTAGAGGCATCTATTCTCTTTCTCAACTTGCGCCACCGCTTGAATTCTTTCCAGGTCTTAAACGACACAGTGATCTTCTCAGAAGGTTGCGTTTTTCGGTAAAGTTCGATTGTGGTGCCTCCCTTTCTCCTGTTGATCTTGTACTTTCGTGCTCTGTAAAGCCTGATGTTTGATGCTCGTTCTATGAACTGCACAGCCTTGACTCCTCCGGATTTCTCTGTCTTCCGCACCTGCCTTGGTCTCCCTTTTCTGGTAAAGGCCACGAGGCTGTCGTTGTATTTGACGGAGCTGAATTCTGTATAAGCGTTTTCAGCGACGCGATCCGTGAAAAAGCAGTTATCCTTCCACTTACCCCGCGCCTGTTAAAGGATATATCAATGTTAATGCTTTGATAATACCATTCAGTCAAATAAATGGTCGTTCTGCGTTAAATCACTGAAACTCTGCTACGTGGTAAGATGCGTTCACATGCCAAGGGGCCCAGAGAGCTGCAGCTACCGGTTTGGGGGCGCGGAAGCGTATTGTACTCTCCTTGGGTGTGACGTCCCAAATAAATTTGGCGGCCCATTTAAACAACTGCAGGTGTAGTCTTGGAGCAGAAGGCCCCTATTTCCTTTGCTTAAAGTGTAAAGCAAAAGAAATAGGAGCCGTCTACACTCAGGTTTCTGCAGGTGGAGAAACAAAACGAGGACAGTGACATGCAAAGTGGCTCGCACAACGTAAATTCTTGTCAGTAGAGTTTGATGCATTGACGATTAGAACACTGCACCTCCCAGAAAGGACGTATCGTGATCACGCAATTTTCTTCGTAAACCAAACTTAAAAATAGCAGTTTATTTAGAAATTAAAAAGATAAAACATTTATAGAATATATCTGGTTAATCCTGTCTTAAATATCTGCAAAAGAATAAAACATTTCGCTCCTAGGCAGTATGATGGATTTGCGATCATTTTGACCGCTCTTCTCAGCGATATTACAATTGCTGTTTGATACGGCGATGATTCTGGGTATTCATTTGTATGTCTTATCATAACAGGACAAGTTCAATTGCTAGACGGCAACAGCGCAGCATTGTACTGCAACAGGCTCCACTCCAAGAAAGATGCGACCGCCACAAAACAGGGCAAATAATAGTCAAACTCGAGCCTTGACTGAGCTGTGTGTCGGACATCACTTAGTATTTTCAAAAGTAGTATGTTGGAATTTGTGTATTTGTTTTTCTTTCAGTAACCATGGCTACATCAAAGAATAGCATAGCCCGCCAAAAGAGCCGTTGATTTGTCTACTGACAGCTAAAAGCTGGTAGTTTTGCGAAAATAATTTTTCAATTCCTTTGGCCAACCAGCCAGAATTCCATCACTCTGTTAAAAATGCGTGTTACTAGTTACAGGCGACAAATGCTGCTATTAATGCTGATTCAAAATTGTGTTATTTCCTTTAGCAAACTATCACGCATGGTAAACACCTCCCACGCTTAAAAGTAAAAGGAAATCGGCATCATAAGAGACATTAAAAAGATTAACTCAGTGTACAGCGGAGATTTTGCGGTACCTAAATTGAGCCGTTTGAACTTTCCGGGCGGTGCTTTCTGCCTATTGTGTAGAACTGTTGGCTTGTTTGAATGCACTGGTTTTATCTCCCGTTAAGGTTGCCCCAACTTCACGCTGTTTATGTGGGCAAACGGGCGTGATTTCAAACTGATTTCGTCTGTGTCGTGTTGTGTTTGTGTATTTCGAAGCACGAATTCGGTGTTCAGACTTACAGGCCCGGACAGGTATATGAAAATAATTCCTCCTTCTCAAAGATGATTTTCAATGCTTCGTAATTCTGAGCCAAGAAACTGCAAAAAGAATGTCTGTGTAATCACGTTATGGTTAGAATGGCGGCAGAATCTATCTACCTACCTGTCCTGGGCCTCTGGTGAATTACTAGTGAAGGCGAATAAATCATAAAATTTCAGTTTAAGATACAACGATAACAAGTATAAAAGCTGACCAAGTTCAAACATGAGGCTGCTGTTGAGAAAAAACTTGAAATGCTTTAATTTGCAAAAGACAGTGTAGGAATTTGTCAGCAGTATGAAGATTTTTTAGATTTCTTTTTCAGTTACTAATGATTCTCAGAGTGAAACCTCTGTGCTTTAGGTAAATCGGTAAATGTCGGCTTTAGAACATGTTGGAATTAGGGTTGGACAATTGGTTCACTAGTTCATTCAACCTTAACACTCGCTACTACATTTGCTTTTATGCTTGTTATTCTAAGATGGTGACGATATTTTCCAGGCGATCTCGCTGCTTCTAACTACCGTCATTGCTTTAATTTAATGTCGTAATTTCTTTCACGAAGGTCTCAAAACTGCCTATTTTCCGCTTAAGTTTCAACAAATTAACTCTTGCAAGAGTCGTATTAATTAAATGCTGGCTCCATTTTCTGCGAAAAGTACTTTACAGACGCGACCCTAATTGCATTTTCAATAGATCCTTCAATTACTTTAAAATAAATCGGGGCGTCGTCATGTGGAAAATGAGTTGGTGAAAAATGTCACGTTGACGACAAATTGCGGGGCAGGGGTTACCTCGGCCTAATTACTTTCTTCGGGACAAAACGTTGCTTTGCGAACGTTCACCTCACGTGCGTCATAAGGCTTTATTTATGGCAGAAAGAGAGGAACCGGTAAAGGTGTTGGAGAGACGGCATTCCCCAAATTAACGTGCACACATTACATAGGCGTACACCATCCCGACATGCATGGCATTCCTTTTGCATTCGTTACAGTGAAAGCGACTTACGTCCGCAACTACTAGTTTACAGGCTTCTAAACAGTCTTGAGTCCGCTCAAAAGTTCGAGCGTCAGTCTATCATCGAAAGACTGTCTGACACTAGCTGAAGTAAGTCCTACAAAGAAGAGCAATTTAACAAATGAAGTGGCTAGGCGCGGCCGCCAACGCAATACCGAACTACGGTAGTTTAGAACTTGGAGTAATTTTCACGTTTTGAAAGACTTGGACTTGCGCGTGGAGGAAGGAAACTATGGTGGGAAATACTACCGATGAATCTTGTTTCCTTCGATTTAAATCACTTTTTAATCCAAAACAACTTATAAATGAAAAGGTTGTCACAGTTTTTCTCGAGAGTAGCTACGTCGGTGCGTAAGTAAGAATCGACTGAGTTGTCATGAATGAAAATGCAGTTCAGTCCTTGAGCTGACTTACATCAGAGTTGACAAAGACACCTTCTCTTTGAGGGGTGATTCTTTTGTTTTTGCTCACGATGTGACAGTGTTTTCAAAACATAAAACGAAAATAGATTTAATCACACAATTAGAATAGCCATTATAGGGAAGTTCCGGTTCCAAAAACGTCCTGAACAAACATGACATTAAGAACTCTTGCCAACAATTACTGAGTCGATATTCTCATTGGATCGTTTGTTGAAAGCTTAGTGCGAAGAAAAATGTGTGATTTTTGCATGTTAGATCCTAAGAAAGGTTCCAAACTTACCCTCCCTCTCAGCCTTCCTCTCTTGTCCACACAGAGATAATAGTTAGTCGCTGAGCCGCGGATGCGAACTCGCCCAAAACTTACTGATTCGATCACCAACTTTGCTGTAATAAAACAAATGAATAGGATCAGAACGCGCTGGCAAAAACCACGTTTGTTCATAGGCCTTCTGCGAATGAATCTGTCACTCATGTTTTATCGCCTCTTCAAGTTTTGTTAGTGCGGCTACTTTACACGCACAACTTAAGGGAGACCTGCTTTCAAAAGTGACGATATATTATATAAATATTATACAAATAGAAGATACATTTCTGCTCTGTCCAAGAAATCAGAGCATAAATCAATGGTGATAATGGTGCATATTAAAGCAGTTTCCGTATGTTACAGGAAATATGTGGGCTTTCATTAAACAAAGACGGAGCTTCTCCGAAAATCACTGTCTGTAATAACGAGTCGAGTTCTCGTCAGCATAAACGCAAGCATGGTTATATCAGTGAACAAAACTCAACTACTCTGAAGTAGCTTTATTCCTAGTCAGCAGGTGTGTTGACCTGTGTGTTGAAAAGAAGTAGACATGGACTTGTCGATGTTGAAACACGTAGATTTTACACAGTGAGACGCTGTTACCCCAACATTTAAAAACAGGATAACATCGACTTCCAGTGTTACAGAGCTCGCACCAAGCACGCAGCCAGCTGCAGGTTTCTGTGGTTTCGCCCCCTTGTCCCACAACAAAACAAAATCAATAAAAGCGGTCTCAAAAATGGCAGCTACGTAAATCCGCTCCGTCAAGTTTTTCTTTGTTGTTTGCTTTATCGATGAAAGGTTGGAATTAGAATGTTACAGTCGATAAATTCGCGACTTTTGAATGTGTTCAAATGTTGTCGTGTATCTGGGTAAAGGTGTCAATTTTGTGCCGAGGCAAAACTTCTATATTTGTTTTAATTACTTGTCGGCGCAGACACAAGTTTGCTTCATGCAGTGAAGATAACTATAAAACAGCCTCGTGTGGAGTAGCTCTTTGTTGCCTGTCCCGAAATCTCTTTCATGCAATTAACGCAAAGAGGATTAAGTATTTGAAAACGGGTTCTCGAAAGGTAACAATGAACCAACCGCAGCGAGGCGTAAGTCTGTTAACTAAAGACTCATTCTAAAGAGGTCGATTAACCACCTCATTTCCAATAAGCTAGACACACGGAGAGAAACTTCCTTTGCAAACTGTCCGGCACGGTCATTGAAAAATTCTTTGAATCCTTCTGCTTTCAGATTTGTGTAAACAGAGCACCCATAGGTTGACAATCAAATAATGTCTCGTCAAACAATATTGGAACCCTTGAATTTTTTAGCAGGTACTGTCGAAAGGGGTTGCTTACTCACAGGCAGGTCAATGAACATACACAGTTACTTTGTTTGAAGCGAGCACGAATGCTCCTAAGAAAATAAAAGTTTGCTAGAGTTTAAAAATAACCAATTCTTAATTTGTGCTTCCTTTCAAAGAACCTGCCTTCGTTCTAATAATAGCAACAATTAACCTTGTACGTATGCGATAACTCGAATTACAGAAAAGAATGCGAAAAATTTCGCCGTTTTCCGAAACCATGGACAAACAGTCGTTTGCTGTGATTTTCGCAGCGTTCACTCACGTAAACCTAACCTCAAATTAAGAAAGAAAGGGAGAACAAAACATTCTTGTGGTCGAACTAAACAAAAAGGAAAACCATTTAAATGTCTTTGCGATGAGTTCACGCTCATGGCAAACAGAAAAAAAGCTAAATCAACTAACTTGGAATATCACAAAGAAGACAAATTATGCTAAAAACTACTTAGCGAAAGGAAATTAACGTTAATTTCGAACAATGCTTTGCAAAACAAATCAAGCGAAAAAAACTGATTAGACCTTTTCACGCAGAGGAAAAGGAGCTCAGTGTACTGCAAGCGATTTGGGAAGCGTGTGACTGCCGTAAAAAGCTGTCAAGTTTCCGAACAGAAGATTAAGACACCGTTTTTACAATAAGCATAAGGAAAGGCGACAGATAAGTAATAAACTCCAGTGTAAACAAGTTTTTACAATATAATTACACAATAACATAGCAGTTTTCGAACTGGTACCGTATTTATCTCCGTCTTCACCGATGGCGTCTACGCTTCTGTCTGCCTTGATCCTAACATGGCGGCCACTATTTCTCGAATACAACTGAATGAATCTGCGAAAAGGTAAACTTTTTGTGTCGCTTTTCATCTTCTGGTCCTTGTAAAAGTAGTCGAATACTCTCTTTTCTTCCGGTTTCTGGGAAGACGAAAGAAGAAGGAACGATATACTTAATAAGTTTGAAAATACGTGAGAGAAAATGCAAATGCATCTAAAGTTTTTTATTAGTTTCCTTTACCTGGCTTACCTGATGATTAAAACTGCTTTCCTGAGCGAGACCATCTGGCAATAACAAGCTGAAACAAGAAACATGACGTCAATAAAGGATTTGCTAGATTGTTAAAGTACAGCAACCGCTGTTTATTACTTAACCAAGTGAAAAATTGTTGATGCTACTTCAGGAAGGCGCCATTATTCATTTGACTAGGCGCTAAATTCTAATCTTAATCGATCTCGTCTTCAAAGGAAGCTTAAAATCGCTCTTCTTTTCAAAGCCTTGAAGTGCTACAACAACCAGCTGTGAATACTTACTGAAGCGCGAGGAGAGTTAACGCTCGCAGGAGATTCAACCCGAAAGCCATACTGCACTGAACTGAATGGCAGTGGCGTGCCGCGGAGAACCCTTTTATCATGATGCGTCACGATTACACACCCGTTACGTATACCGGTGAATTGCGCGCCTTTGGTACGGTGGGAAATCAGCGAGATTGGCCGCAAAGAACAATTAGGAAGTGTTAACGGAAATGTACGACAAGTGTAACCCACTCCTTCTCAGCGAAGGAAGGAACCGAGCCAGTGGTCTATCTAGGACGATTCAAAAAAACAAAACGAAGTCAGATTGCACATGTATAAACGACGGAGACACAAATCTTGCCCATTAATAAGGTGTGCCCCTGTACTTGCTAAGAACAATTAACTGTAAATGTAATTAAGATGCTTATCAAATCTTCTATCGTCGGCCGCTGGGTTTGACCTTTCTAGGTGTCAATCTAAGCTTTTTACGCCTTAATTAAATTTTAAATGTTGAATTGTTATGCACTGCGGTCGAGAGAGGCTCGATGACATGGGTATTAGACGAAAGTCTCTTGTGCCAGCGATTTGCGGACCACAGCGATCAAAGGGACGCGGGTGTTAAAACGCGAGTTCAGAGTAAATTCTTTCAAGCCCATTAGAGGCAGCAGCGGCGACATGAAGGGCTCGTGTGGATAACCTATCGATTAAGTCTCGTCTGTTATTGGGCTAAAAGAACAATATGTCAATAAAAGTCCCTGAAAGCGGCCGACTTATTTCAGTTAACAACTTGAAAAAAGAAGCGGATGTTTGGAAGATTAGATGACCGAGCGATATCAAAAGATTTTTCTTAGCTTCATTATTCAGCTATTTAGAGTTTGCGAGTTTGTTTTTCCTGCAGGCAACAAAAGCTACAAAGCTGTTATTTCATTCATTGCCTGCCACTTTTGTCGTACAGTTTTAGATTTTGACGGATTTAGGTCGATTAACATTTGTAACAAAGCAATTTAAAAGCGTGAAATGCAGTTAACCTGCCACTAAAGTGAAATACGAGATGGAGGATTATGTACAGTGAGATAATGGTTAGAGTAAATTAAAGCAGATAATAAAATGTCCAAATTATTGGCTAATATACAATGTGAACCAAACAAGTTACAGAATCCCACATCATTGCTGTGTTACAGCTCATTAAACTGTGTAAACAAAAAGCCAAAGAAAACCAATATCCTCTTTTTTGTCTTATCGAAAAGTGCTATCATCTGTGCGCGCGTGTCGCGGCCAACATTCCGTAAGAGGAAAAATTAGCCCTGAATTTTCCTTTGAACGTTCTTGAATAAGCTTGGTTAATATGACAGTTTACATTCCTTTCAGTGACTAGAAATGATATCTCGGAAAGCACACCTATGAGGGGCTCCGGGCGGCTTCTCTTACTGAAATCTAAAAAGGTGACAATCTGCACTTCCTTCCATCCTCTCGGAGTGCTACCTATAGCCGAAAAATCTCAAACCTGTACAAAATACCTCGAAGAATTTCCCTTCGGCAAACATGCATCTTAATGGTTGTTTGTCAGTTTCTTTGCAGTGGCTCTCGCCGCAGAAGGCTGCGACGTAAACTTAAGGAAATCGCCTCGCAGCAGTGACGTCACCGGGCTTCTAAGGTCGACTTTGGCCATGTAGATGATGTCCATAATTGATTTGCTAAGATTATAATCTGTATGTCTTTATTACTGTAATAAGGTGAGATGATTGCTGAGTTTATTGCACTCAATTTAGATGGTTTGCCTTACGTGAAACAAACGATGTTGTAGAGTTTTGTTGCCGATTGGAGAGTAACACAGAACTCGAATTAATTGGATATTGAGAGGTTTAATTTTATCTTCAAGTCAGTATAATAAAAGTACAGGGCGTGAACACTTATCTGACACAGGGAAATTTTAAACTTGGGCCTGTCTTGATTTCTCAGTGCTTATCACCGAGAAATGCCTTTGCAAATTATCTGGGTGTAGAACCTTTATCTTGTGCCGTTAAAAGTGAGAATTTACAGAGCTTGTCTCCTCCTGCAGTTTCACTGGCTCCTAAAGTCTTCTTCCACATACAATCTTGGCACCGGATTATCCGGGAGACGGTAAATCAATTGAAAAAGTATAGTTTTTCGAGAGATCGTGGTCTAATAGGATATCGCAAGGTATTAATGACAAAGTGGGGGAGGGGAGGGGTGGTGTCTTGACAAGGGAACCCGCAGTTAACCTGCTTACGAAAGAAAATCCTTTTGACGAAATATTTATTACCCCGTTGAAAGTGTTCTTTGTAGCTTGAGCTACTTTGGGGAAGCGCAAAATGTTAAGTAGTTACAACGTTTAAGTCATAATATAATACTGACAAGGACAGCTCCAAGGTACTGTATCCTCCTCCCCCTCTCCCCCATTCACTGAGCGATACCTGTTATGATGCTAATGTAATTTGCAACAGTGCAACTCTCTTCCGATCTCTCTATACGTGTTGATGTTCGTTAAACGGAACTTCGTTTTCTCTTTTTCGTATCTCGGATGATTCCAGACAATTTAGTTCGTCAAAGAGAAGGCGCATTTTTCAGATTTCCGCTCTGGTCACCCAGCTATCACCGATAACCGCGTATCGATATCTTCGCGCACAGGAGATTTCCGAAAGGGTAATAGGCCAACTCGTCGAAGGATACAACAGATTTGCTAAGGCCATCATAAACTATCACCTGTTATCTCAACTTCTCCCAAGGAGCTTCGAGAAATTGCAGACTTTCTTCTTAGAATGCTCTGAATATTTTGTCCTCTGGTGGACACTCGATACGATGGCGGGATTATAATCCATTTTACACACAGTTTTATTTCACAGCATGGGCCCATTTTCCTTCTTGGAGGGTCATTTAAGGATTTTTGTGAAAGAGAAAACTGCTTCTTCGGCAGACTCGAGGCGCCAAGTTTGAGCTGTGACGTATATTGTTACGTGGGAATTCGTTTCGTGAAAAACAGAAAACTAATTCCAAGGTGTCTCTTTATGAAAGATTCACACCACATACTTTTGTGACTCTCAATTTAATATTTCAATATAGCAAAGAAAAGCTGGCAAGAGTATTGCCATTGAACGATATTTGAAATCCTTTTATCGGTTTTATTTTAAGAAGTTTTACGTTTTAGAGTAATACGTTACTAAGCTTGGTCTTTTGTAACCAACATTCACCCGTTAGACTCATCTAAATCTCAAGAGCTGAATTAGTAATAGACCTGTGTGTCATACTTAACGTCCCATGCGTCCTGGTCGACTTTCAAAGTTTCCTTCTTTCAAAATCACGAACGAGATAGTTTTAACGATAGCAACATTGTGGGGGCGTGCAGTGTTCTCGACTTGAAAGTGTCTTAATGATGACCAAATCATAATACGCTGATAATGAAGATTATAACAGCTAGACACGACTAAATCTGATAAAATAGCTGTCGCAATAGAGTAGTGGATAACTCCATTCTGAAGCTTCTTTTGCATCGATAAAGAGCCAAAACACAAGAATTGTGTTGTCTATGACTGCCTGTCACGGCTGTGCGTGGAAGGATTTGGGGTTTGCCAATCTTTGGAATGTTTATTTTCGAAATCTGTGCTGGGATCTTCCTGGATTCTGGGTCTCTCTGAAGCTCTCCTCGTTGACACATTTAACCACAAACAGGTTCCCAGAAATACTCAGACCCGTACGCCTTGTTTGTGAGAACAAGATCTTATCATTTTATAACCTGAAGCCAATAACTCTTTCATGAGGAAAGATAAATCTTGAAACTGGAGGAATGTTTTGGTACCCTTATTTCTTAATACAACTTCCAACGAAACAAGCTTAAAACATTGCCGTCCGTCTTTTTTGGGGGAAAGAAGATCTTTTCATTCATTGGAATTCATAGCCATTAAGCCAACAATGCGGAATTTTATGTCAGCAAAACTATTCATCAGGTGAGACGCAGATGTTTACACTGGAGCCACAATTCTAAAGACCTGTCGATCGCATTTAGTACAAATTGGCCAAGATAAGGAACATAAAACTACCCTGGAGGAATTCCCATGCGAAAAAGGCGTGGTCATAGACTTTCACCATTGCTCAGGGGCAGTGTTTTTATTGGAAAGTGGCCAAAGCTCAGTCAGAACAATGGATTTCTGATGATTCTTTTCCTGTCATTTCTAATTACGAATTCCTGAAGACAAAATTATTGACGGTCATATAAGGTTAAATCCTTCCTTTGGTAAATTTGCAAGACCTCCACTTCACCTATAACTGATGTTTTAATCGTTTTCACTTGTTTCTGTGTTTATTTCAGATAATAAAAATAATTCTTGAGATGCGCGCGGTTAAATCCAACTCAGACGATCCGTACAAAATTGCCAAAGGTCTCAAAGCATCAACAGACAGTCGGCCATGAGCGATCGATGTCTTAGATACTAACTCACTTGAGAGCATTAAAACATTTGAAAAATGTTTACTTTTCATTTTCCCTGTACCAAACAGATTAAGCCCTTGACCGTCGATATGGGGCACTTGTTCTTAGAATCATTTCTTCCTGCCAATATGAATTTCATGGATTTTTGTCATGAATTTGCACCATTAGACATGGCTACCAAGTTGCACCATACAATGCGTATTTTCGCCTCCCTTATTGGAATTTCATCAGTGAGTTTCGAATGAATATATCAGAGAGCAACAACTTGAAAAGCGTTCAACATAGCTCAATTTCTGGCCTCTTAGACAACTTGGCTCTAGAAACACACACGTACTTGAATTTTAGAGGATTAGCTCTTCTCCTGTGTGAAAACTAAAAAAACACAGCGGCGGTATCGGCGTAATTTTATTTAGCCCGCGCAGTTAGCGCTGCACGCGTGTTACGGACCATTATCACAGTAATTTCCTTCCACTATAGCAAACATATTCAGCATGCTATTTGAAGTAAAACTAATATTTCCAATTTCCTATTGAACCTGCAAATAGATTTTCGGCTTCGACTGTTTTCCTTTAAACTTCGTGCCGTCACGTTTTTTGCCGAAGACCTTTGCTTTGCGGTAAGTCAGGGAATGCCGTCATAAGCCGGCCGCGCGGCTGTGTGCTAAACACAGATGAAATGTTACTATTCTTAAATCAAGTTCCTATTCCTCTAATAGAGTTAATGGAACGGTTCCTTCCGATGTGATTCAATGAACTGCTAACAGTTCCTATTTTGATACAATTTGGCCGGTTAGCGCATTCATCGAATTGACAAATATGGCCTGGCCAATTTCTAGGCTCTCATCTAGCCCATAGGGCATATTGAACAATGATTCATTGTGTCACTGAAGCAGGTAATGAACTCACAGTCAGCGATGTGACAGAATAGTTCAAGAGATTCTATCCACTCACATCACTATATTTCGCTTACAGCCGAAGGAGTAGTACATATCAGACGATGTCGGTCGGTTTATAGCGATTGTTTCCCTGACTTAAAGACCTGCCTTCTTTCCCAAACTGGTCAGGTTTTTCAAATTAAGGGCCTTTAGATCTTTCATTTATTTACGAGCAACCATGATTTATATAGAATCGATATATTGATATATTGGTTTTGTACCTAAGGCTCAATAAAATGGTCGACTGACGATTTATGTGGTTGAATTTAGGCGTTAAATCAGTTCGTGAGGTCAGTGTCAGAACTCATTAATCCAGCCACTAAAGTCTGTAGAAGCATGAACCTGAATATCTTTCAGTAATAAATAAAGTTCTCCGCGTAGCGATCTCTCTCTATGGAAAAAGGGTATGATTACGGACATTCACTGATAAATTCAGTGATGGAGTATATCTGAAATAGTATTGTAATATTGTGCTTCTTGTTTATAAGTTTGTACGTTATGTAACGATCCCCTTTATTTACGGTCTGCACGCGCGTTCCTCACAGTGCCAGATAGAGAATATATTTTACTTATCGGGACAACTTAAACTCAGTATGCCTTTTGATACTCGAGAGGAGAAACTCCCTGCAGAAGCTTTTGATCACTTTTTAAAATTCTGAATTTACGTTGTTATCTGTACGTACCGGTGCATAAATTATACAACACATAGCTTACAATTGCCATCGTTTTTACATAGCAATGAAATGAGTCTTCTACTGCCAAAACAACCTTTTGCGAAAACACCTTG